TCACATATCACAAACTTTGTGAGAATCTAATTCCGAGAATACGGCGTAGAGACGAAGCAGTACAAGATAGTGATGTGATCACAGGTTTCACTTACCGTCTTCCAGAATGGCAGGATGGTGTTTTCTTTCATTATGTGATGCCAGTTGTGGATGATGATAGCTTGAATGTGCTTTGGAATTTTATGGCACAAAATCTTTATTGTTTGGGTGCTGAGATACATGTTGAGCTTAGTGAGTATCAGGGTGGAGAGGAAGAAGATGATACATGGAGCGTGCCCTCCGATCATGACTATGATGACGGTGATGACGGAGAGGAGGTAGATGAGGAGGAGGAGGAGGAGGAGGAGGAGGAGGGGGAAGGAGAGCAGTCTAATTATCCTCCATATTTTTACTTGCAGGGTAATGAAGAGGACGAAGAATTATCACTTGATGATTCATATGGCGTAATTCTAATGCCTATTGTTGATAGTTTTGAAGGATAATTCTACAAGGGGCAGATATTTCACTCGAAACAAGCTGCACAAATGGCGATTAAACACCACGCACTACAACGCAACTTTTAATATGGCGTGGTGGAGTCGTCACCTTCAATCTGGAAGGTCAGATGCTTGAGGCACAAGGATGACAATTGTCCTTGGATGGTGAGGTTTGGATGTCGCGATGTTGGAGGCGAATGGAATGTGAGAAAGGCTGAGTTGGTGCATTCTTGTAGCAGTACGACTCAACCGACGGATCATCGCCATCTTGATGTCGACATGACATCTGAGGCCGTCAAACATTTGGTACGTGCCCAACCAAATTTGAGTGTTCTAACTGTGCAGGCCGAGTTGAAAGATAAGTTTAATATGCAAGTTACTTACAAGAAAGCTTGGTATGGGAAACAAAGAGCATTGGAGAAGTTGCATGGAAATTGGGAAGAATCCTACGATCTTTTGCAAACATTCTTGTTGGTGGTGAAGAGAAAAATGCCAACATCGGTGATTGATTTGGTAAGAGTTCCTTCGACTCAACCAGGTCATTCGATATTTCAGCGAGTATACTGGGCTTATGGACCATGTATATATGGATTCAAGAATTGTCCAGGCATCATGGTTGTTGATGGAACATTTCTTACTGGGAAGTATAAAGGAGTGCTACTCATGGCGAGCTCATTTGATGGTCGGAAGAAGATTTTTCCAATTGCATTTGCCATAGTGGAGAGCGAGAATAGTGATAGTTTGCCATGGTTCATAAGTCACGTTCAGGGTTTGACTGATCGAAATGATGTTTGCATCATCTCAGATAGACATGTAGGACTCTATGAAGCCATGAATAACATCGGAAGAGGTTGGGAGTGGAGGTGGTGCATGCGACACTATGCAAGCAATTTGCAAAGGAAGACTAAGAGCAGAATTATGTATAAGCAACTATTTCGAGTCGGTAAGCCTTCTTCATTTAATTTTTTTATTTATTTTCATGTAATTTTGTCATGAATTTATCTAACCCATGTGGTTGTTTATTTTGTTAGACGGAGAAAAACGCTTAGAGAAGGTCGATCGTCAAGTTGAGCAATTTAAGAAGGTGGCCACTGATAGAAATTTTTCATGTGATAACTGGGTGGACCAACATTAGATTCGTTGGAGTTTAGCACATGATAACTACAATGGTGGGTGTCGTTGGTCTATCATGACATCCAACATGACAGAAAGCATCAATGACGTTTTCATAGGTATTCGTGAACTTCCTATAGCTTCTCTTGTGCAACATACCTATTGGCGATTGGTGGAGAAATTCGATAAGTACAGGTTGGAGACATGAGCAGAAATTAGAAGTGGTCCTTCACAGTACTCCACCAAGTGCGAAGAGCTGATGAAGCTGTGGTCACGAAAGGCAGTTGGACATTCCGTGACAGCTCTTGATCGACGTCAAGGCATCTATGTAGTTCAGACTCCTCCCAACAATTTCAACATGACGGGGTCAAACACACTCACAGTGCACTTTGACGACCACAACCGAGCAGGATTTTGCACCTGTGGGAAATTTCAAGGAAATAAAATTCCTTGCTTTCATGCCATTGCATCCTGCAACCGAATGGGGGCTAATCCGTATAGGTTTGTAAACGATGTCTACAAGCTGGAAACAGTGTTGGCTTGTTATGGGACAAGTTTCACACCTCTTGGTGAACCTAAGGGTTGGAAGAAGCATAATGGTCCTATGCTCCATCCTAATGTGCACATGATTAGGAAGCCGGGGAGGCCACGAGTTACAAGGATTCACAACGAGATGGATTGGCCAAGGGAGGGTGCATCACACCAAGTGTGTAGCAACTGTAACCAAGCGGGACATAATGAATCAACCTGCGATGGCCAAGCAAGTGGGAGTGCGAGCAATCGAAGAGGGAGTGGTGGCCAACGAAGTGCGAGAGGTGGTAGAAGAGGAAGTAGAGGTAATAGACGTGGCTGAGAAGTTTGTTCAAATGTAGCAGTTGTTGTTTTTCTTTCGATTTACCTTGCAGAAGTTGTTGTTTGAAGTTGTTGTAGTTTGGTATGTAGTTGTTGTAGTTTGGGAGAATTTTTATCAAATGTATCTGTTGTTGTTTTTCATGTAGTTGTTATGGTTTAAAGTAGTGGTTGTTCCTAGTGTTTATCGTTAATAACATAATAACATAAGAAAAATAATAGTCCACATAATAGTCTCAAGGAAGTACATAATAATAACAATTCAAAAATAATAGTCTACATAATAGTCTCACTAACGACCACGACCACCACGACCACCATGCTCCACCACTAGATGGCCGCCAGTACCACACCTCGCAGACACCTTGTTACGTGGAGGTCTACCATCATACTCCTGGGGTTGATCTCCCTCGACACCACCATCCTGATCCTGTGTACCGAACATATCATCCTGCTGAGACTGAATCTGTTCCTCAGGTACACCGCCACCATGCTACTCATAATTCCACATCGTCTCCTGAAAGGTCGCATCACCCTCTAGAGCGTCCCACAGGTTGGGAGACGAGGCTGCTCTAGTATCACCACATGAGCCTATGCTCCTGAAAGGTACATCACGATGCTCACGTCGCTGTCTACGTGGCATATGCTCCTGTCTGAACTGTGGCTCCAGGACGACCCAGCCCGGTGTCAGATCAGTACGCTCTAGCCAGGCAGTCATGACAGGCTGATCATACTGGGGCTGTACAGGTACTGTGAGATCAGGGTGTCTGCGGCGCTCCAAACCTAGAGTAGCAACCCCAGATGCTATAATGTTGGCCAAGTCCTCACACTGGTCGGGGGTCAACCCTCCACTCCGTACACCGTCACGCAAACTCACCTCAGCATGCTCAAAAGTATCATACTAAAAAACACAAAAAATGTCAGATATTTCACACAGTTAACAAATTCAAGACAAATACAAAAAAATATTAACCAAACAAATCAAATAACTAACCAATGCCTTCCGTGCAGCTCCTCTCCGTGTACTGGAATGCCTGGTGACATCTCTATACCACTCCATATGCTCCGAGTGGTAGGCTAACTCCTCATCCGTGTATGGAGCCGTCGCTACGAACTCGTGTCGACGGTTCCACAAAGCAAGCGACTCTCTGGAGGCGTGTACCAACTGCTGCCCACGAGATGGCCCACGAGTAGTCTGACGAAGAAAAAACCTAACCTCAGCCTCAGGATGTGGCAGATGAGGCTCATGCTGCCTCGTACCAAACTGCCGGAGCACGCGGTCTGGATGGTGCCACATCACTGATGAAAAGCAGATAAGTGGCACTACTGCTCGAAACGTCTCAGATTGTATCACGCTACCTCTGAGATGAAGTGCTCTCTCAAGGTAAGGTTGCCACTACACAAAAAAATATCAACGTTATTATCCCTAAATCTAAAAAAACAAATGAAAACTATTATATAAAATGGAATGTTATATACTAACCACCACAGTGTCCATCGCGTCAAACCACAACTTGTACTGGAATAGCTGATCACCATACTGACGAGTGTTGGCCGGAAGCTATCCAAGACCACGTGGGGATGCATCCTCGGAAATTTGTGCCCTCGTCTCTGAATGTCGAGGTGCTAGATGTGGGAATCGCTCCCACGCCCAGAGTTGCAGTAGGGCGACCCATCCACCAAGGTCACCGCCTAGAGAAGTGCCGGAAGACGTAATGTGCAAAGCCGACCTACCCATCTCACGGTACAGGTAGGATAAAACAGCAGCACCCCAGGCGAACCGTCCAGCTCTCTGCCAATCCTCAATCAGAAGTAGGTACTGTAGGTGCACCGTAGCTCCAGACCGATCCGGGAACAATACACCTCCCATCAGAGATAGAGCATAAGCTCGTGCAAACTGCTCTATAACCTCCTGTGATGCATTTCCCGGAAGATGACTGAATTCATCCCTCAACCAAACAGTCATAACGACACCGACACCTCCTGAAAGATCAGCCGGAACCCGTCCTAACAGTCTCAAACAGATCGCCGACCACTCCTCATCTGGTATATCAACTACGACGGCATCACCGTCGATCGCCAGACCAGACAGTGTAACAACATCCTCTAACGTGATCGTGATCTCACCAAACAGTATATGGAAGTTCGACGTCTCGAGTCGCCACCGCTCTACGAGCGCAATAATCAAACTCGCCTCGGAGTTCATAGAGACCAGGGGCACGACACTAAACAAGCCAGCCGCTTCGAGATATGGCCGATAAAGCTCATGGTACATCACTAAATTGGTCGTACCTCGAACATGGTAAGATCGATCACCAGCCTATAGTGCACAAAACTTATATTAATTCAATTTCATTCGTAATAATTCTTCTAATTTTCACCTAATAAATTCTACTATCTAATCTAATCTGAAAAAATTTGGTACGTAATCCTATTCTAATTTCAGTACAGTTCAGTTCACCAACTAAAATAATCTAATTAGCTAATTAACTTTACATGAATAATTATCAAATACTTACCTCGTTTGCCTAAACTGAGTCGATAAGATGTTGGCCATGTCCGCAAAGAAGTTTCGGATCGACCGGAGCTGGATCAATTGTCGCCGGCGGTAGTCTCATCGAATGAGGGTCCATAAGCCTAGGAACTGCAAAAACAAAGAAACAAAAACATTAATTAAAAAAAATGTCGTCGGCGAGACCCTCACCGCGAAAACGGTCGCCACCTCCACGACCTCGCCGGCCTCTCCCCCTGCCTCTGCCGGCGATAGCTTCTTCTTCGTCGGACGACATATCCGAGGCGGTGGCGCTTCAGTCTGGCGCAACGACGCTTCTGTCTGCGGCGGCTGGGTCAGCGGCGGCAGCGCCTTGGTTTGTGACTGCTGCTTGGCGGAGCTGGTTCGGGAGGAAGGAGTGTGAGGGAGGGGGGAAGGAAGAAGAAGGATGAGAAAGAGATAGGCCCGCGGCGCTTTTAAAATTAGGTTATAAATTCACAGGCGCTGGCGCTGGAGACTAAGGCGCCAGCGCCTCAGACAGGTTTAAACTTTTTATAACGCGGCCTCACCTTAGTCTCAAGCGCCACCGCCTATGAGGCTATGACTCTACATAAAAACACAATATTTGTGTCAATACTTTTTAGGGTTATAGGTATAATATGCCCCTCTACTATGACGTTTTATCAAACATGCCCTTCTACTATTTTTTACATCAAACATGCCCCTGTACTTTGTCAAAATGATCAAACATGCCATTTTGTTTAAATATTCATCCAAAAACCGTTAACCAAGGTCAAAATTTGGTTTGGGCAGCACAAATGTCTAAAATATCCCTAATAATTTCACTTTTTTTTTGTCTTTTGTATAGCCAAATAATTTCACTTTGAAGACACCCAGAGAAATACAATGGGAGATAAAACTGACATTTTCTCTCCCATTTGCCGATGTCGGGTCGTCTAAATCTTGGTTCAACCATGATTGATGATTTTTTCAATGAAAATTTTAACATAAGGGCATGTTTGATAATTTTTTCATAGTACAGTGGCATGTTTGATGTAAAAAATGGTAAAGGGGCATGTTTGATAAAATGTCATAGTAGAGGGGCATATTATCTGAATTGCTATTTGTCGCCCTAAAATTTGAATTTTATTGCCCTAAATTACTCCGAAATGACGCATTCACCCCTATCCCAATTCTCTCTCCCTCCGTCGTAGCTCATTGGAAGTTACTTCAAGTCCATTGGCCGGCGGTGGCGATGGAGGTGGTGGTTACAGGCTTACAACAATCGAGAATCAAAATTCTGTTCATCCTTCAGCTCCGCCATCTTATGGGTTTTCTTCCCATTCATCTTGATTTCTTCCGCCCCCAATTCTGCCATGAATTCTCCTGCAGGGAGTCCCCTTAGCCCTTAGGCCATTGATTTCATCCTTCTCGCCAATTTAGTCATCAATTTAACTCCAATAGAGTTAGGGTATTGGATGGGCGTTGCCCTTCCCTGTGCGCAGGCGAAACAAAAAAAAAACCAGATATGAGATCCCCTCTGTTCAAATCAACTTCCCCGTCTCATCAAAATCCGCTGCCGACAGATCCACTTTTCGGGCGAACTTCCTTTCTCCTCTAATCTTGGCGAAGAGCTTTGGCTTAAATGTGTGTGTTTTTAACGAAAACCTTGGTCATAAACAATCATTGGATTTGACCCAAATCCGGATGACAAAGAGAAGGACAAATAAATCAAATAAGGGTATTAGAGTAAATTTAACTTAATTAGGGCGATGAATAAAGTATTTTAGGGCGACGAATAGCAATGCCCCATATTATACCTATAACCAGTGGCGGACCCAGAAATTTTACATAGGGGTGTCCTCTTTTAAAAAATAAATTAAATAATTCTTAAATAATAAATAATTTTTAAATAAGAAAATACCTTACTAATACAACTTAAAAAATCCACGATGTGTTTTCATATTCGGAAATAATTATAGAATACACTTGGTGTCTACAGTGCTCAAAATTTTTGTCTCTATCATACTAGACAATCATTCGCGAACTGATCACATATTCGATTTCTAAACTAGTTCTTAGTGTAATCCAAAGTTGAAAAGACTTTTTCAACACTTGTCGTCAACCATAAAATCAATATAAATTAAGGGTAGCTTGAAATTTATTTAATTGTTAAGTTTTGAAAATAATTAGAAATAGGGAATGACATTTTACTATTACACAGTGTTTAAATCGAACAACATATGGGTTGTAGGCTAGTGGAAATTATGTTTATTAATAATAATAGTGTCCTATGTTTGAATTACCCAAACTACCACTTATATTCTCATACGCAAACTAAAATATAAGAGTAGGATAATATTTTTTCAAATTTTAGGGGTGTCCCCGATTATCAATTATAATTTTTTTGTCCATTCGTAAATTCCCACCAGGGCTTGTATATATCTTTTTCCCAAAATTTAGGGGTGTCTCGGGACACCCCTAAACACACGTGGGTCCGCCACTGCCTATAACCCTTCTTTTGTAGAACAGCTCACCAAAGCATTTTCAAAATATATAAAAGCAAACAATGGTGCTACTACTCATGAAAAAAAAGCCAAATTATAATAACAAAAATTAGAAAAATGTGGTGACTAAGAAGCACATAAAAAACCCCTAAATATGAGACCTCTAAATAAACAAGCGATAACCATACTACAAGTAACGAAATGAGGTTGGTCTTGATTGTCAAATAGTGACGGGATAAGCTATGTATAATTACGTGATCATTTTGTTGGTTGAGGACCTGGTAACCACTTATTTAGATAGCCCAATTGAAAAATTAAAATACACATTAGTTTATATTCTTTATTACTCAAATATTTTTGTATATACTGATTACAATCTCATAATTCATAATGACAAATAACATTTATAAGTCAATTTTAATCTATAAAGATAAAGTTGTGTGGCTTTTAGAGCCTAGTTAAGTTATGATGTAGGGGAGTTGATTTTGTGGTGGTGGCCTCATTTCTGTTCCCCCGCCGGCCCCCTACCATAGTTACAGTGGACTAACATCCACTCAACAGGATTCAACCCTTCACGAACCAGATCTCGCCACGTACGGGATCGCGAGTGAGAGAGTACGACCCAGCCAATGGGAACTCGAAACGTGGGCGACCGGTACTTAGGGGGAATGATGGCGCTGGACACCCCAGCCTTTACGGAGATTGGGTCAGTGTCCTTTCCAAACAAGGGTATCTTTCAGTGGCTGTGGGGACGGCCGACTGCCCCAAAAAGATCCGACTACGAACCCGACTGGACCCCACCCCACCCCACTTCTTTCGCTCCAATCGGGCCGCCCTAGTCCAGCCCAAGTTTTACTACCTCGCTTCAACTCTGGCCCGGACTGGGCCCATTACCATTATTCCGGCCCGGAACCAAATCCCCCCGAAACCGCACTAAAATCAATCGTCCTATCCCACTCCCATCATTTTGAAATTTTGAGCACTTCTGATTTCCCCCCCTCTTCCCGGTTCATCTTCTCTTCCGTTCTCCTCCGTCCACGGTCGTGATGTTGGCAGAATCCGGCGAATCACCCTCCGATCGGGACCCTCTCTTGCAGTGGCTTCTGTACGTTCTCCGCTTCCTATTTCGTCTACGTGCAGAAATGCTGGCTTTCCCAATTTCGTGGTTGCTGAATTTGTTTCTTGATTGAAACTTGTATTCCAGGTCGATAAAAGAGGCTCATGATGGTGGAAACTTTTCGGAACTGGAAGAGCTTGTGTCGAACTGTATTGACAATTTCAAGGACGATATAAAGTACCGAGATGATCCCAGATTCCTCCAGATTTGGTTGCTCCATGTAAATTTGATTTTCTAACTTTTTTTTGTTGCTGACTTTCGAGTTTTCTCTCGTGGGTGTTGTTCCTGAACCAATCTGGCTTTGTTTTTTACTGGGTGCTTGAAATCCACACATGGATTTTAGCTGGTTTAGAGCTTGATTATCTGCATCGTAACTGTTTTGCTGGTTTCGGCGCACAGTGTCAGGTTTCCTGTGCGGAATTAGGGTTTTTAAGTGTTCGGTGCAGGTTTTTGTGATGCTTTTGCTGCCGATAGTTCTGTAACTATCGCCGGGAACTCAGTTTCTGGGTGGTGTTGATGTAGACCCAACAGTTTTCTTTCCTTCAGTTGGGCAGCTGGTGGTTGCAAGTAAAGTTGACGGCATCTATCTCGAGACAAATGAAACGATTCACTTTTCTTTCTTCTTGTTGGGTATCAATTGGGTGATGACATTTTTTGCAATCAATTTTGATTGTAGAATGAGCTGAATGATCTGTCTCATGTTCTATTTGTCCACTTTCCAAGGGCTGATACACACTGACTAACAGATTGGGTTTTTGCTTGATTTGATAGTTGGAAAGCAGTAGTGACTTTGAAACAGTTTTCAAAGAGATGGAGAAGAGAAAGATATGCATACGGAGCTCTTTGCTTTACGAGCTGTATGCATGTCTCCTTGAAGGTAAAGAGATGTGGCAAGAAGCATATTTGGCATATCAACTTGGCATTTCAAGGTAATTTCTTCTCCCTGTTATTTCCTTGCGTGACTAGATGATGACTTGAAATAAGAGAAGTTAATTACTGGGTTGTAATTGGCACCTGATGTTTCTAGTCAAATTTCTTGCTTTTCCGCACCTGAATGCCAGGGAAGCTGAACCACTGGAGAGGTTGAAAAGTGCATGTTCACTTTTTCTTGATAGAATGTCTGATAGAGTAAATGCTTCCTCACTGGAAAAGGTATGGCTAACACTTTGAACCCACACCTCTGGTTCTTATGCATATAATGTGTACCAGACTTCAGAATGACTTTGAAGTACCAGTAAATGCATTTATTCCGCCGTATATTGAGCATCACCTGCATTGCATTTCCTTTTCAATTTTCATGCATAAGGTCTAAGGAGATTAGCTTATCCACCACCAAAACATTGATTCTTTGGGCACAAAAATTCCAATCTGCAAGGCCTCCTGTTTCTGGCTTAAACTACTACTACGATATAAAGCAACTTTTGAAAGATGGCCAATCTGATAAAGCATGGCGGTTTTTTCATGCTATTTTCTTATTGCAAGTGTTTGGTAGAAGAGTCGTCTAGTTTAGGCTGACTTTCATGTTTCTAACTGTTTGCAGATTGATGGCGATGAGTCCAGCAGGTCAGAAACATGTATTAATCCTTGGTCTGACTCCACAATGGATAACCTGTTGCAGAAGATAAAACCTTTGCTTTTAAAATCTGATGTAGGGTACACTCATAGTAAATATGATTGAAGATTTTACTTTTATATCATATCTAGTCATCATCGGTTACTCTGTTGCATAACTTCTTTTTGCATGTGCTTTAGGGATATCATCTAAGTAATAAAGCCTACTCTGGGAAAGTGGATTTATCTTCACTCCGAGCTTCGTCAAAGAACAAGACGCTGGAGCTAGGTAACCCCGTTTTTGAGTTTCCTTAATTTCAAGCTTACCTTTATGCTTTTGTTATAGTTTAGTTGCAGGCGAGTTGGCTGAAATGTTGACCCTAAGTTAATATATATCTGATGGCCATATCCTGTCTTTGTCAGTGAAAGGTTAATGGAAAAACGAGAAGAATTGATCTAAAGTTGGATGTTATATTCAGCTTTTGATAAGAGTTTTAGGCATGAGAAGTTTCCTCTGTAGATCACATAAATTAGTTTATGAGCATTGGAAATCCACTAGATAAATATTATTAGACATTCTAGGTAGCCAGTTGATCCTTGTGGACGTCTGAAACATTCGTAGAAATCTTTCTTTTTTCATGGTTATTTGAGTATTGGCAGGTTCAAGAAGCCACAAGCTTAATACTTGCTAATTGGAGATTTAGTTAATTACTCACACTTTGATTTATATATTATTTAACATTTTCCGTCTGGGGTACTTGAAGGTAAGAGAAAGTACCTAATCAAGGGCTATACTGGGCAAGGTCGTTTTGCCTTAGTATTTAAAGCACATGATGACAGCACTCCTGATGAGTACGTTGCACTGAAGGTAAACATATCTGCCCTTGATTCAGGATCCAAAATTAACAATTTGGAGTTCATTGCAATCTGAAATGATTCTCAATATTCTCAATCTGAAATGCCTTGCAGATACAAACGCCGCCTTTTCCTTGGGAATTTTATATATATCGTCAGCTTGATAAGCGTATTCCAGACCAGCAAGTATGCAGTCCTAGACTCCTTACTTTCTAACAGTTGTGGGTTACGGAATACTTATCCTTTATTTTACAAAATCAACCAGAGGTCAAGCTTCGGGTTTGCTAAACGAATGCATCTTTACTCGGACTACAGCGTACTTGTCTGTGACTACTTATCCCATGGGACACTTCACGTTGGTTCTTCCGCCTCCACTTCCAATCTCTTTGTATTTTCAATGTGGCATCCGCTTCTATGGCACTTTCCCTCAAATACTACATTTGCACATTGCACATTGCACACATGCAGGACGTGATAAATTCCTTTTGGGTTGTTCGCAAACCCATGGAGGAAGTGCTATGTATTTATTACACCATAGAGATGCTATGTATGCTGGAAACTTTGCATGACGTTGGCCTTATTCATGGGGATTTCAAGCCTGACAACCTTCTTGTTCGCTGTGCCAGGTAAATGTGTACCATATCCCTTATATGGTGTCTCGTTCTATTTTATGCTAAATAGACACAGTTCCTTTTCTGCGATTCAGAGGAACCTTGTGTAAAGATTGCATTTTTCTATATGAACTAGGAGCTCCAGCAATATTATCATACGCAGACACACAGACACTTCACACCTTTTGAACCTAGCTAGTTTGCCTGTACTAGACATTGAATTGTGATGCTCCACCTTATGGCATTGACTGGCTTGGGCTTGAATTGAGCATACTTCTCGGATTTTGGCAGAGGTGAACTTAAAGAAGATGATTATAAGAAACGAGATGGCCATTGGCGTGACCAGGTTAACTTTTGGTTCCTACAGATATATATTCTTTCGAATTTCATACATATCTATGCATATTCAGAGGTTAGTCTTGTCAGGGTCTCTGCCTAATTGACTGGGGAAGGGCTATAGACCTGCATCTTTTCCCAAGCCACGTCGAGTTTGAAGGAAGCTGCCGGACTTCTGGCTTTCGATGTGTTGAGATGCAGGAGAACAAACGCTGGAAATGCCAGGCAAGTTTTGTGGTCAATAGCTAGTGGACTATTTTGCGTCAGTAGCTACATGGCGATGCTGCATAACTTAGCTTAACCCTTCACTTGTATTCTTTTGCCAGGCTGACTCCTACAACCTTTGTGGCGTTGCACACCTGATGCTACACGGATCCTACATGGAGATAGAAAGGAAACGCACTTCAGATGCAGACCACGTTTATATGCCTAGACTGCCTTTTAGAAGGTATTCTGTTTTTTGTACAGCTATTCATTTAGCCCACCCTCTTTGTCGTTTCGACATGCTTGGACTGCTGTTTATCTTCAGGTACTGGAACTGCAAGTTATGGGAGAGGCTTTTTAAGGAGCTGCTCAACAATGCCCCTCATGATGACAAGATGTTACTGCGCGATTTGAGGGAGTGCTTTGAAGAATACCTGTGCTCGGATCCCCAATTATTAAGGAAGCTGAAGGATTTGCTGACAAAGCTAAAGCTTTTCTTGTGTTCTGCATAGATAGTGGTTTTCTCTGATGTTTTCCTCCTCCATGAGACCTCTCTCACATTACCCTAGTTCAGCAACACGGCGGAAATCACAAGGTTAGCTCCCAATCCCATGGACTACAAGTCTACAATTGTTGCATTTTCCTCAGTTTCTGCTTTGGTTATTCTTCTTCCTTTCACTCTATTACCCTTGCTACTGAATTCTCTGCCGTTTTAATTGGTTATGTGCAGAAGCCATGTAGCTGAATTCTCTATTGCACATAATTCGTGTAATGTATTGTCGTAGCCCAGTAAGGTGAAAGGGGATGAAGTAGCTCACCGTTGGTGCCCATCCTCGTCGAAGTGATTGTGTGTTAGTTATCTGATTTCTTTACGGGAAGGTTTCTGTATGTATGCTAATCTATACGCAAAGAATCTCTCTTTCCCGGTATATTTTTAGTTTCCGTTACAGTACTCCAAATCCAAATGAGAAGAAGTATATCTATATACAATGTGCTGAGCAACAAACTTACTACGTAATCGAGACATCAAGTGGAACTCATTGCGTAATCAAGCTGCAATTGTACATAATTTTAAGTGAGCCGAGATTTGATGATTGATATTTTTTTTAGTTTGACTTTTATCTCTATCATTTCATTTTTTTTAGTAAATTACATGTTTTGTCACTCAATTTATAAAAAAAAATTCACATTTGTCACCAACAAAATTTTCCTTTCTTATTGGGGTTAATTGCATGGTTGGTCACTGAGATTACAAAAAACGTTTAATTTTGGTCACTAGAAATATTTAAACCCATTAGTGGTACTTTAGTTTATTGAAATTGTTCCCGTTTGGTCATTCTTCGTCAAACTATGTTAACTTTTGCTTACGTGGCGGCCAACTTTAAAAATTCACTGTTAAATGTGTGACATGACAATTTAAAAATAATAAAATTAAATTTTTTTAAATTGCCATGTCATTTCCACCTCACTAACATTTTTATTTAGAAAAAATAAAAAAATTCCTAATTTCTTCTAATCCCCAATACCAATACTCGGCCGGCAGCATACCCGCCGCATCCTTAATCTCCCCAACCGAATTCCCCGTATCTATGCTCGAAATTACATCTAATTCATCCAAATCTTCTTCTTGGATTGCTTGCAAGCCTTCTGGTTGCTGTGGTGGCAGTACCACCGTAGGCAGGGGATCCACAATTCAACAATCGAACTCTGTAGAATTCAAGGGAGGTTCTTGTTCTTGTTTCTCTTGCTGCTGCAATGATTGATTCAGGACCTAATTGGAGCAACACTCTTTTGCTGCTACTACTAGTAGAAGTCGAAGCGTCATCAGATCCGCCGCTGGAGGAGTAGAATCTCCTAATGTAATCCTCGAGCTTCCTCTTCTTTTCGGCGAGAACCGACTGCCTCGCCGCCTCCTTAATCGCGTTCCCCGTTGGAGACCCGTTGTTGCGGATCATACACACAACTTCCCTCTCGTCGTCGCTGCTGCGACCGTCGTCTCTTCTCATGTTGAACTGGTGGAGGATCCACTTGGCGTTCTCGCCGGCGAATTGGGGATTAGGGTTTTGGTAGCTGAACGCCTGAACCTCTTTCGTGTACCGATCCACCGCTCATCCTGCTCAATCGGCGACCGAGCATGGCGGACTAGCTTGAACAGGGTCCTGATGTCCTCGTCGTGCTAGTTCTCGCCGCTCCTCCCGACCTTCCGAATCGCTCTCTTGTTCACGCCGCTGCCGGATTTTGCCTTCTTCTTGAGCTCGGTGAATGCATAGTCGTCGCCGGGTTCCTCGCTGGAGGACTGGAGGCGCCGCCAGATCTCCCATGGGTCGTCGTCTCCGTAGAGATCGTGGCAGCGGATGGCAGAGTAGTGGGCCGGCGGAAGCGTGCGGCGGATGTGGTTTTGCGGCGGATATTGATATTGAGATTATAAGAAATTAGAGTTTTTTTAAATAAAAGCGATAATGAGGTGGAAATTAGATAGCAATTTTGAAAAATATAATTTTATTACTTTTAAATTGTCACGTCACACATTTAATAGTCAATTTTTAGAGTTGATCGTCACGTAAGCAAAAGTTAACGGATCTGGACGGAGAGTGATCAAACGTGAACTAGGGATGACAATTTTGCCCATACCCATGGGTTTTTAACTATCCAACCCAATTGGGTTTGGTATGAAATCCAAATAGTTGGATATGGATAGAGTTTGATGGGTTTGTACCCATATTCATTTATTTTTGGGTTCGGTTGGGTTGATAACAAATGGATTTGGGTTTGTACCCATGCCCAAATACAAATTACAGTTTGGTACCCAAACTTAATAGATATGCATATTTAGTACCTAAATTTAATTTGTTTGCATAGAAGTCCTCAAAATATCGATGGAAAATTATGTTTCGGTACCTAAATTATTTTGGTCTTACAATTTGGTACCTAAACTTTTCAAGTTTTACAAATAGGTCCAATTTTGTATGTGTAGTTAAAACACCATCAAGTAAATGGATATTCATATCCAACTCATACCCATTTAGATTATAGAAACAAATAAGCAATATTCATACCTTACCCAAACTCATCTATAAACCCCCAAATCCATATGCACTTCACCCATACCCAACCCATTATCAATGGGTCTACTTGGGTTTGGGTATAATTACCCATGGGTGGTAATTGCCATCCCTAACGTGAACGGTTTCAGTAAACTGAAGTACCACCAACGAATTTAAATATTTCGAGTGACCAAACTTGAACAGTTTTTGTAATCTCAGTGACCAACTGTTGGGCCATAGCTGAGCAGCATTGGGCTTAGGAGCCCAAAAGGGTAAGGCCCGTCCAAAGGGCCCAAGAGTACGTCTGGGGGAGCGTAGCGCATAGGAAACAGAGAAAGGAAAGCGGCCATACTAGGACATGACAGGTACTAGGACGCCTGACACAAAGAGCCGTTATGGGCAGAATGAGAGATCCTCCTAGGATACTCACCTCGAATACTGCAGGACTAAGCATTAATTGCCGCCGTAGGCGGTCTAAATAAAGCAGGGCTTGATATAGGACGCCTGACATGGTAATTAATGCTCGAAGCCCAGCCCAAACCACTATAAATACATTCATACCTGCATTGATGGTAAACCAACTACTCTCTCTCTCTCTAAACATTATTACAGAACTCTCTCTCTCTCTAACTTCAGCTTCGGAGGGTGTCCTGGGTAATCACCCAAGGACCCTTGTTTTGTAGGAGCTTGGAGTCCCCCATCATCCGGATCAGACGCCTTGCTAGCTTCGCAAACCCGCCTAGAACATCCTAGGCTCAAACAATTTGGCGGCCACCGTGGGGCTAGCATTGCACTGAAGAAAAGATGGGTGGGAGCTCCAATACTCCCGTCAAAGGCGTAGTAGAAAGAAGTCCCCTCCGCGCACCAGACGCACCAGCGAGTGGAATGCGAGGAATGGAGATGCCAACCGTGGAAGAAGAAATGGAAATGGAGGACCGCGTAAAGAGCCAAGGACAGCAAATATCGAGCATGCAAGAGAGCTTGATCCAAATTTTGGCGATGCTCAAGGAGAAAGAAAGTGACGCCCCCGAGAGCTCAGGAAGGAAGGCGGTCAAAGGGAAGAGGAAGGAAGGCGGTCCTAGCAGCCCCGTCTCAACAGAAGGCGGGGAGTCAGAGAAAGAAGAGGAAGATCTTAACTTGGGATTCCTTGAGGAGCATCTTAAGCCCTCGTACGGGAAGGTGAAGGGCCCCAACATCCTGCAGAATCCACTAGCCAGAAGTTTGTTCAGGACTCAGGTCCCCCCAAACTTCTCGTCACTAGGGCTCCCAACGTACAATGGGAGCTCAGATCCCGCCGATCATTTGAGTGCGTTCATGCTCAAGATGCAACTCATCAACGCTACAGACGCTGATATGTGTAAAGCGTTCCCAGTCACGTTCAGCGGTCACTGCCGAACCTGGTACACCTCCCTCCCAGGGGGGATAATAGAGGATTTCGAGCAGTTCGCGACTCTGTTCTCTTTGAAGTTCGCGTCGTAGAGGAGGAGGAAGCTAACAGTCTCATCACTCATCAATTGCAAGCAAGGGGGAGAGGAGTCGCTTACAGACTTCTACGACAGGTGGAACACGATAGCCTGCGAGGTACAGAGGATCTCGCCAAGTGTAGCGGCGGGAAACCTACGCATGTCGACGCATAGCCGCGAGCTAAGAAGGGCGCTCATTAAAAAAGAGCACTCACTGAAAGAATGGACCGATCTGGACCGCCTTGTGAGGAAGGCGATCCTGTTAGAAGAGGCCATGGAAATTGAGGAAACTGCCAAACGCCCCAACCCGAGAGAAGGAACGGAAAAGAAGAGAGGATCGCCAAAAAGAAGAGGGCGCTCTCCGGAAAGGCGAGGCTACAAGCCGCGGTTCACGAAACGAGACAACAGGAAAGAAGTGTTCACCACAAGTCAAGACGGAGGTCGAGATCGGCAAAATGACAACAGTGTGCGTCAGACGCACAGAAGGGAAGATGACCGGAAATGGTGCGACTGGCACCAAATGCCCACACATGACACCACAGAGTGTCGGGAATTCAAAGCCAGCCTAAAATACTTAGCACCCGGGGATCTCAGGAGCCGCTTAGATACGAGACCGCAGAAGGAAGAGCAAAGACACCACAGAAATAGGTCACCAAGTCCGAGGAGGAGATCTCGCACGCCGAAGCGGCGGAGGTCGAGGTCGCAGAGAAGGGAGCGCTCGCCTAGGCGTGAGCGCCTACCGCCACCACTAGGAAGGTCTCCTCCACGCCGACTACCGCGTGTTAATGAGGACGACGTGGAGGTGATTACCATAGCGGGCGGCCGCAAGAGACCCAGAAGCGAAGGGGAGCGCCTAATTCAATGCCTGAACGTTCACAAGAGCGAGCAGGTGGATATCAACTTCTCACCTGATGAGCTGGCCCCCGAAGAGAGCGCGGAGGACCCGCTGGTCATCTCCCTACGAACGAGAAAGTTCAAGATCACCAGGGCGCTAGTTGACAACGGTAGTTCGGCAGACATACTGTTCTATTCTACGCTCAAGAGCATGAAGATGAGCGTCCAAGATCTCAAACCTTCTGCCACCAGCCTCGTAGGATTTTCAGGGTCCAAAATCAGAGTGCTAGGCTTGATCACATTACAGGTAACGATCGGAGAAGGGAGCATAACCAAGACCCGGTCCATGGATTTTCACGTAGCAGACTGCCCATCAGCATACAATGCAATCCTGGGGCGCGGTTTCTTGTCATTATTCTCAGCGGTCCCATCCACCTGCCACCAAACGCTCAAGTTCCCAGTAGGAGGACGTATTGGACAAGCCAGAGGAAACACCGAACAAGCGAAAGAATACTATCAGGCAACCATAGAGAGCTTGGAGGTAGACTTAGTGGACACCAGAGGCGGTCACCCTCGTCCAGAGGCGGTGGAAGGTGATGCTGAGGTGGTTTTGGACAGCGAAGAGCCAGAAAAAAAGGTGAGGATTTCTTCTCACCTCGCGGAAGAAAAAGCAAGGGAGCTCCTGGTACTCCTCAAAGAATTCAAAGACTTGTTTGCGTGGACGTCCGAAGACATGCCGGGCGTATCAAGAGAGCTCGCCGAGCATCGTCTGTCAGTGAAGAGCAAGGCGAAGCCAGTGCAACAGCGCAGAAGAAACGCATCTCTGGAGAAGCAGATGGCGTTGGAAGAGGAAGTTAAGCGGTTGCTTAAAGCCGGCTTTATAAGGGAAGTCAAATACCCAACCTGGCTGTCGAACCCAGTCTTTGTTCGAAAAGCCTCCGGCCTCTGGCGAATGTGCATCGATTTCACAAATCTAAATGCAGCCTGCCCAAAGGACGCTTACCCTCTCCCGAGAATCGACCAGCTCATTGATGCAACCGCCAACCATGAGAGCTTGAGTTTCCTTGATATGTTCTCGGGCTACCACCAGATCCGCTTATCTGAGGAGGATCAAGAGAAGACCGCGTTTATGACGCACATGGGAAACTTCTGCTACACGGTCATGCCTTTTGGCCTAAAAAATGCGGGGGCAACATATCAAAGGATGATAGATGCGGTTTTCAAAAGCCAGCTTGGCCGAAACGTGGAAGCATATGTAGATGATGTTCTTGTCAAAAGCAGGGAAGAAGGAAACCACCTGAAAGATTTGAGGGAGACTTTCGAGAACTTGAGAAAAGAGGGTCTGCGGTTGAACCCCCTCAAATGCGTGTTTGGCGCCAATGCAGGAAAGTTTTTAGGGTTCATGATAACCAGGAGGGGGATCGAGGCTAACCCAAAGCAGATAGAGGCCATCACGAGTTTGAGGCCGCCCCAGACAGTCAAGGAGATTCAGGCATTCAATGGAAAAATGGCCGCCTTGAGTCGTTTCATTCCAAGGGCTGCTGACAAATGCTCACCCTTTTTCCAGATGCTCAAGAAGTCAGCATCCCGTTCACAATGGAGCGCGGAGTGTGATAAAGCGTTCTTTCAGCTAACGGAACATGATAGACCGTTAATTACACATGTTTTTACCCCTGTTCTTACACCGTTTGAGATGTGATTTCTCGTGGTTTAGACCGATTTCACGCTAGGTTGTGCTTGTTTGTGATGTTTCAGGTCCTAGTACGTGAATGAAGGCTTAGGAGCGAGTCTGGGGTCGATTGGACGAAGAACGGACGAATGGCGAGGTTTTTGGGGAGCTGCACGGGCAGACCAGGGAGGCTGCACGGCCGTGCACGTGAGCAATATGACCGTGCGCCTTATGCCGAGACACGCACGGGCAACCCCTGAAGCTCGCACGGCCGTGCACCCTGGTCGTGCGAGAGGGCTGAAGTTCGACTAAATGACACGCTGCGTTTTGAGTTGCACGGCCAGAATGGTGATATGCACGGCCGTGCACCCTGGTCGTGCGAGTCGGGATTTCCTGGTTTTAAGCCAAATTCCGAACCAAAGAAGAGGAGAGCTGGGTTTTGGATCCGATATTTATCACTTGAGCCACTATACTGCAGTCCCTTCCATTGGTTATACTTGGCCTTTGTTAGGTGTTGTGTTTTAGAGCAGTCAAGTTTTTGGCGCCGTTGCCGGGGACTTTCTAGAGTATTAGGAAAGGCAGAAGTTTGTTACTTTAGCGTTTTTTGTTTCTTTTCTTTTCCACCCTTGCTTTTCACTTGGGTGTTTTTGTTTTTGTTGGTGCAGATCTGAATCATGGATCCTCATGGCTTCTCCAATCATTGGGGGTATCCACCACCATCTGGGTGGTATTACCCCGAGACTCCGTGGAGCAATCAAGGCGGAGAAGACTATGGATTCGGGTTCCAGTACCAACCCCCTTACTACGGAGAACAACCGGACCCCTGGGCATATCAAGAACAACCTCATTACCAAGAAGAATTTCTCCCACAACCAGAAGAGCCATTGGAGCTGGAGTTACCCATGGCGGCCTTCACGGGCCATTCTGCAGAGCCATGCTACACTCCACAGCTAGATCCACACTATGATTTGAGGCTTCTCATGGAGAGATCATGCTCCAGTATGAATCATTGTGTCCAGGCCTATCGTGAAACAGAGGGCATCCTCCTGAGCCTTAAGAAGAGCGTCGATGATCTTGAGCGATCTTGGGCGCAACCTGCTCCAGATCACCCTTCTGCTACCATACAAGAAGATGAGGAGGAAGAAGAAGGCTACAAGGACATTGTGGAGCACACTGAAGTTGTCACGGAGAGCTCCCGTGATGATCATGATCAGGAGTGTCCTGTCGTAGCCGACCACACCTTCCCACACCCCAAACTGAGCTTTGAAGAGGCGGGCATGAGTGAGGAGATGCAAGAAGATCTCATGAAAGAAATTGCTTGGCAACTTGCTCTCCAATCCGTGCTAGAAGAAGAAGAGCAAGAAAGGGTGCAGAAAGAAGTTGTGGAGGATGACGAAAGTGAAGCAGGAGGAGTTCTTGATCATTTCCCAGGGGTGATACCACACGAACAAGTAAGGGAGGTTGAAGAAGCAATTGGCGTCCAGGCTGAGGACGGAGTTA